CTGCTTGGATTGTCGTCAAACTCTCAGTAAGTCCTGAATGAATGAATGAATGAATGAATGAATGAATGAATGAATGAATGAATGAATGAATGAATTTGTTCGTACAAAGGGTTCGTACGAACATGTCACGTCAGATTCAACAAACTCTTCTATCTTCAGGAAAAGTGTGTAAATGAGCTGCGTAAATTCACCTGTTCTATCCAGCTGCTCGTGCACGCGAGAGGAGATTAGCATAATTACCACCCCCAAAAACACCATAAAAGGCTATGTGTCCTGCTAAAGAGATTCAGTTCCTGCTGGCACAAGATTTATCCCATATAAACCTCCTTTAATCCTGACACCAATGTCTGTATGGTAAACTACTGCAGAGGTTGCTTTGTTTGGTCTAATAATAAAAGATTTCCAGAATTGTGGGAAAGAATAAAAACCCTACAAAGAGAGGAAATGTCTGTGGCAAGTTCCTCTACATCAGACCTTTGATGGAAAGAATCAGAGTGAAGAAATTTAAAGTTATTAGAGGTTAGTACTGATGTTAAAAATACAACATTATATTCTTAGGTTTTCCTTTTTGTAATGTTGACAGTGTTTAATCTATTATGTTTTGATTGAAATAGGTTCAGTTACATGTCCGGAATATGTGACAACACTTATTTAAACGTTGGGATGACATTAACTGAGGATTTTGTCTGAATGCCTGTGATTCAGCCGTAGGTCAGTAGGGGGCGAACACAGGCATTGAAGAAGGTGTATAAATACATGAACATCCTGTTTTTCCGGGAGTGTTGGTTTCCTGTCAGCTTGAGTGACAATAAACCTCACTCAGATCCAGAATTCTGGTGTTGTATGGTTTAACTCCTTCTACAAATCATTTTATTGTGTGTCTAATATCGACTTCAGTTTATTGAATACGAATTTTTCTTACAAGAGCTTGATTGAATTTTCTCCCTACATTCACATTGCAGGCAAAGTTACAGAAATCCACATTTTTTCCAATATATGAACGTTATCAGATTTGTTTATTGTGAAAATGTTTTTTTTAATGCAACCTATGCCTTTTTTATATGTGGTACTAAAGTTGAGACATTGGCTGTGTCCAAAACAACAGGCCGGGTCCTCCGAAGGTCGAATTTGTCGGCCGCATACGTCACAGCGCCGCGACGAAGGACGTCCAAAACTGAAGACTCCTCCGATGCGTCCGACAAATATGTCCTTCCTTTGGCCCGAATCAAAGGACAGGTCCGATGGATCCTTCCCGGCCCAGCATATCCCATAATGCATTGCGGCCTGAGAATTTTTTATGCTAGTAATGGCGGATGAAGCGAGAGAAAAGAATACATTTTAAATAAAATATGGCTAAATAAAAATTTAAAAAATTTAGCGGTTGTAATTCTAATACTTTTATCATTTATATAGACATGTTTTTAAATATTATTTTTGTCATAAAAACGTGAAATAAACATACAGTGGGTCATTTAGTTCTTCAAATGATACTTTTAAGTTAATTTTATAGTTTTGTGATATTAATAATGCTAAAGAATACATTTTAAATAAAATATGGCTAAATA